GATACATTAAATTTATTTAAAAATGGATCTTTTGATTATAATTTGATTCTTGATATTCAAGGTGGAAAAAGTTTATTTATTACTTTTAAATTAATTTTATCACAAACTTCTTTTGCTAAATCTATTGATGATTTAAATCTACATCCTAATGGCTATATTTTACCTCAACCTCAAGCTTATACTCCTTTAATTATTCCTAAAGAAATTTGGAGACTTTGTGATTATGTACTTCCTTTTATTCATGACCCTAATTTTATTTCTTTATCACAACCTTCAATTGATTATGTTCCTGTTTATTATGAAATATTACATTCTCTTGATACTCATTCTTCTTTTAATCCTTCTTTAAATTATCATCGTGTTTTAGAATTCTTATTAATCTTTTTATTAAATCTCAATGATTCTATTATTCCTTCTTCTTTGTATGAACATGTTATTTTATCCGCTGATAAATCTGATATCGAAATAGATAAATTCTTTATTAAAAACAATGCTTCTATTCCAAACTCTCATTACAATCTTTTTATTTATTTACTATCTTTTATTAAAGAAATTCTTCGTCAAAATCCTTCTCTTCATCCTGAAGATCTTATCAAATACTTTTCTTCTTCTTTCATTCGTCCTAAAGATGGTCTTCGTCGTCAATGTGACTCTAAAACTATTGAACAATTTCTCTTAAAATTTATTAAAAAATGACTTTTATTTTAACTTCTTTTTTCTTTTTATTAAATTTTTTATTTTCTTCTTCTTTCTTCTTATCCATTTAACTTTTATCTAACCATTCATTTCTCTGTCTTTGTTCTTGTAAATACCTTTTTTCAATTAATGACTTTGTTTTATGATTTTCTCTAGATTTTCCTTTCCATAACAAACATACAGTGCCATCTCTTCGTCATTGTAGTGGCAAGAAACTGACTCTAACTGTTTAATAACACATATGTCATGCACCTTTCTAAGAGGAGACCTGAAAGAGGCAAAATGGATATTTCTGAATTTAAGTACAATTGCTAAATCTCCATAATTCCTATAAAGAATTTCACCAACTACTCTTCCAACGAATTCACCAAGAATACGGATAATATCATCTCCACTATTATCTCCTTGTTTCGTATATCCTTTTAATGATGGAAGGAGTATTTTTTGTGTGACCATTTGTAGATTAAAACAGTCTTTAATGATTTGTTCTTTAGGATAGAAACAACTATCAAAGGAAAAGTCTTTGTTTTTGCAAATATTATTAAATTGTTCAAATGTTAAATTTGTATTGATTCGAATAATTGTCTTGCCTATTCTTACTTTTTGAATACATTTTCTTGTTAAATCAACATTAAAAAGAACAGAACATGCAGAACAAATTTTTCCTTTATTTAAAGATAATGACTCACTCTTTTTTTTATCAAATATTTTTCCAGAACTACCTTCTCGTTTATTATTAATTATATCTGATATTTGTTGAGCATTTATTTCATCAGTAAAATCTATACAATGAATACCAATTTCTATTTCATTTTGTGAAACAAAACAAATATGAAGAGCATCATCCCTCATTTTTGTTTCTTTATTATCTATAGTAAATACTCTTCTATTTCTAAGATCAAAATGAATTCCATCATTTTGTGGTTCAACGCAATATATCATATTTGAATCTAGAGTAAATAATTGAGTGTTTTGAGGAGTAATGTCATCGCACATAATTATAATCGTTTCTGAATCATCCATTTCATTTTCTTTATTTTTTTCTTTTGTTTGTTTGTATTGAATAATTGACTCTATCTCAAAAATTTGATCTCTTCTTTTGAACCTACCTTTAACTCGATGAAAATTATTATCTGAATTGTTTATTTTACATACAGGTATTCGTTTATCATCACAAAAAAACATTCTATGTTCTATATATCCTGTACATTCTATGTCTTGGATATTATTTATTGAATCAACTTTTCCTACAGCAACTATTGTCCTACCATTAACTTGTTGAATTGATTGAATTAATTGAATAATGTTTGTTACTTGAATTTGAGGTAGAAATATTTTAAAATTATCATTTGGTTTTGTACTTTGAATGATATTTCCTGTGATAAGATCAATCACTTCCCAGTAATTTGGACTTAAAATACTAATACTAACTTCATCTCCATCTAATGCACCGTTGCAATATAATTTTGGAATAATAATATTAACTATCTGATTTTCAATCATAATAGAACAATATGTTTTAGAATAATTATATCGAAATATTCCATTAATTGATTGATTCATGAATTACAATTAATTAGTTTCTTTTGAAAAAGAATTTATTAATATTTAAAAAATAATAACTACAATTTGTTTTTTTTTTGAAAGTAATTCAATTTAGAGTTCATTCTTTTGATTAACAATATCATCAACTCCAACAGTATTTTCTTCTTTTACCTCTTTCTTTTCTTCTTTATTTTCTACTTCTTCAATTCCAGAAAGTTCCTTTTCAATCATTTTTTGAACCCATTGGGCATATTCGTTAGAGTCAGTGACTGTATATCCAGATTGAATCAATGCTGTATTATACATTCCTTTAACAAATTCTATTGCTTGTTCTTTCTTATCTTCTTTAATTAATACATTAATTTTTATAATAATATCATGTTCTCCATTAATAACTAATACCCTTTTAAGATTCTCTAAATTAAAGTCTTTCTTGTTAGCAGTTGCATGTGCTTTAATGAGTTTTTCCATATTAGCAGTTAATCCATCTTTACCTGAAATAACTACTCCAGCAACGTTTCCAAGTTTATTTGAGACTTCAACTTTACTTACTTCTTTTATATTTTCTTTAATGAATTCTTTTAACTCATCATATTCTTTGTCATCAGTTTCTACTCCAAAACCATCTTTGCCAAGATCAACAAGTGTCTTTCCTTCAAAGGTATTAATACTTCTACTTGCTGCTTCATCAACAGGATCTGTCATATAAATGACTTCATATCCTGCACTAATAGCTGATTGTGCAACAGGAGAATTCTTAGCTTCTTCTAATGAATCAGCACAAACATAATAAATTTCTGTTTGATTCTCTTTTAATCTTCCAATGTAATCTTGGAATGACATAGTTTCATTTCCAGAAACTGAAGAATAATATCTCAACAATTTAGCAATTCTTCCTCTGTTTGGTACATCAGTAATAGCACCAATCTTCATTTGAACTGAATACTCTTTCATAAATGCTTCAAAGACAGTTGAATTATTCTCACTAAGGTCTTGAATAAGTTGAAGAACTTTTCTAACTACCTTTCTCTTAATTCTGTCAATATGTCTATTTTCTTGAATTAACTCTCTTCCAACATTTAATGGAATATCATCTGAATCAATAACACCTCTAATGAAAGTTAAATAATCTGGTAATGTAGTGTAAAAATCTCCTGAAACAAAAACTCTTCTAACATATAATCGAAGCATTTGTTTTAATTTTTCTGGATCTTTAGGAGCAAATGGATTAGGTCCTTCGGCTGGGATATATAATAATGCTCTAAAGACTGAATCCCCTTCTGTATTAAAATGAATTTTTGCTAATGGATCTTTAGTATCTTTAGTTAATGCTTTATAAAATTGATTATACTCTTCATCAGTAACATCACTTCTCATCCAAATAGGTTTATTAACATTAATAGGTTCCCATGATGTAATATTTTTAGTAATAAATTTGTGTTTAACTTCAACATTCTTTAATTCTTCTTCAATAAGTTCTTCTTCTGTTTTACTTGTTTCTCCTTCTTCAATTCTTTTCTTTGCTTTTTCTTCAGCTTCTTGTCTCATAGCTTCTGTATCTTCAACTTCTTCTTCTTCTTTTTTAGTAATTTCCATTTCAATTGGGAATTGGATAAATTCACTATATTTTTTAACAAGGTCCTTTAACACATTAGTATCCAAGAAGTATTTGTCTTTTAATCCTAAAATAATTTTAGTACCTTGTTCTTCCATTGGAGTCTCATCTTCTTTCAATTCTCTAACAACAAAACCATCACCATTACTTTCCCATGCATAACTTTCTTCTGATCCAGCTTTACGTGAAATAACTGTAACATTTTCTGCTACAAGGAATGAAGAATAAAATCCAACACCAAATTGTCCAATCAAATTTTTATTATCTTCTGCTGCTTCTAATTTCTTTATAAATTCTGCTGTACCAGATTTTGCAATAGTACCAAGGTTCTTAGCTAATTCTTCTTTTGTCATTCCAATTCCATTATCGATGATATAAATGGCTCCTTTATCTGCATCAATACCAATTCTAATTTTAAAAGAACTTGGATCAATATTTAGAGTCTTATCGGTAATGCAAATAAACCTTAATTTATCAAGAGCATCAGATGCATTTGAAATTAACTCTCTAAGGAAAATTTCTTTATTGGTATATAATGAATGAATAATAAGATGCATCAGTCTTGAAACTTCTACATCAAAGGTTCTCTTCTCTTGTGCGGACACCCCTAATAATAACAATAAGAGAGTGACAAAAACTAACATTTTCTCTTAGTGTATTTTGTAAGTTCTTCATCTTTAAATAAGTTTCTCTTCTCTTATCCACATACCAATGACGTGTTATTTTTAACTATTTTAATAGTTTAATTTACTATTTTTTCTAATTTCACAAAAACAGAGAATGAAAGAAGATATGCTCTGATATTCCACTAATTAACAAAAAAAGTAATATTATGTTATATATGTCAAAAAAAAAATAATTTTTTTGAGATAGAAAAAAAGATTAAAAAATATCATAAGTTGACAAAAAGTAATAAATTTTTGTTGTTTTTAGGAGTTTTTTTTATGTAACAAAACAACCTCCAAAACATATTTATAGACATTCTTTTTATTTTTTGTAGACTTTAAAACAACAAAGTATCAAAGTATATGATAGTCATTTATTTCTTTTACTACAACAACAAAGAATTAGTTGAAAATGAGTGGAAAGGAATGGTAGTTATCATAAACCAAATAAATTAGTAATAAAAATGACTGTATAAACATTAAGAAGAAAAAACTACGATAGACTGATTTCCTACTAATAATTCATGTATTATTGGATCATTTCTTTCAATAATAGTATTTCCATCACCTTCAGCACATTTTTCATATAAGTATTGATTAATTTTCATTCCGATTTGAGTTATTTGTTGTCTAGAATAAGCTTTACGTCCTTTAAAATACATAACATTAACAGTCTCTGCTATAGCAGATTTATTTTTTCCAGTGGTCTTAGTTGTTCTAAATGTAAACCCAAACTCATTTAGAATATCACTTAAAAGATGAAGAACTTCTGTAACTTTATTTGTTTCATACCTTCTAATAGCTGTCTTTTCTCTTAATCCATTAGAAAGATCTAACTTCATCATTTCTTTACATCTACGTTCAATTAAGTCACTAATTGCAATTTGATCATCTGCTGAGAATTTTAATGAACTTACTGTTACAAGTTGTTGAGTAACAATAGCTTTTTTAATTGGTTTTTGAATAATCATAGAACTAGATTGGTTTAAGATTCCAAGAAAAAGAGCTTGTTGGTATACTTGGTAATTTCTCATCTCACGATATACAGTTGACATAGACTGATAATTAAAAAGATTATTGTTCTAATTTAAATATAACTGCGTTTTTTATATTGTTAGGGGTTGTATCTACTTTCTTTTAAACTGTTTGTTTTATTTTTATAAATTTCTTTACAATTTTATAATTCAATTGAAAGGTGGTTCTATTCTAAAAGAGAGAAAATCATCTATTGAAACTGACTGAATTGAAAAAGAGTTAAGAAAATTACCTCAAAAACAAATCAAAAATTCCATTAAAGATTTTTTTATAAATTTTTATTATTAGATAAACAATAAAATAATAAACAACAAAGAAGTTTTGTTATACAAAAGAAATAAAAAACCAAAAAAAAATAGAATAATTAAGGTACAAAAACTTTTATGAGACTAGCCTTTACAATGTAAGTACTATTTCTCATTTTATTCCTTGAAAACTCATACCTTATTTGTTACAACTGTAATTACAATATCTCAAGAGATTTTAATAAAAAAAAAATTAACACTTCTTTAATAAATTTAAATGGAAAATAAATAACAATTATTTAAGTTAGTGAGATTTCATAATAGTATTTTTCATTAATTTAAAAGTATCATCAGAAAGACTATTAAGATCAAATTTAACAGTTTCGTTTGCATTTACATCAATAATGTTTTTAAGTTCTAAAAGTTGGCTTCCACTCATATTCATCATTTTTTGTACAACATTTCGAAGTTCGTCATTACTTCTTTCTGGAATTGATTCATCAGTAGTATCCAATAATGCTGAATTTATAGGTGGTGGTTGAAAAGATGAACTGTTATCAATCTTTTTACTCTTTTTTATTTTATTCTTTTTAAAAAAGAATGGATCTTTAAAGTCTTTTCGTTCAATTTTATCTATTGGTTCAGGTGAAATAAGTTCAATTGAATCTTTAAGTTCTTCTGTTAATTTTGCAATCTCTTTTTCTATCTCATCTTTTCTATTAATCAAAAATCTTTTTTCAGTTTTAAGGTCATCAAGAGTTTTGTATTTATCTTCCATAATAATACGTTTTGCAAATTTCCCTATAAGATTTTCAACTTTCTTTTTTTTTAATGTTGTTTCTCCATCAAGAAGACCTCTTCCTTCTCTTCTTCTTTCTTTACTATTATCATCAGGCATAATATATTGAATTTCAAATTCTTTCACTGCATCAAGACACATTTGTGAAACTGCTGCGGTTGGAGTTCCTTCTCCATACGCTTCGATAAGATTAGTAAATAATTCTTTGTATTCACTTACAACAGATCCATCATTTCGTTCAGTTATTTCATCGATTTGTCTTTTAACATCCATATTATCATCAAAAAAAGATAAGTAACAATTTTTTTGTAAATATTTATACAATTCATTTGCAAGGAAATCACATGTTTTAATTGTATCCAAATCATTTAATGTCCTCACTTGTTTTTCTCTTTTTAATGACATTTTTGTGTAAAATGATAAAAATGTTATATTTTTTTTTAGTTATTCTTTTATTTTTTTTTTTTTAATAAACAAAAAATATCTTGTTCAAAGCTGTTATTTATCCATTTCTAATACTTCTTTTAGTTGTAATAAATCATTTTTAAAATTACATAATTTGTTTTTGTTCTAATTGAATTATGTAAGTTTTTAATGTGAATTAGTTAGAATATTTTTGTATCAGTTAAAACCATCACTTTTAAAATGGAAATAATTCATTAAATTAATTGTTTCTTACCAAATAAAATATCTTTTTATTATTATTATCAATTTAATTCTTTGTTTTATTGAAAAAGTTAATTTAATACAATAATTTACATAAAAACAATAAATAATATTAGTAAAAGAGAGTTTAATGTTAAATAATCATTTTTCATTATCAAAATTTATTAAAAATAAAATGAGGTATTTATTTCTTAAAATTGTTTGGTGGTTACCAGTAAGTTTCAGTGACTTAAAGGAAGTTGTGATAGTTAAAATAAATGATTCATAAAACTGATTATAATCCTTAAAACAAAAAGAATAAAAATAAGACTCAAAGAATTTTAAAATTTTAAAAAACAAAATAAATGAAAAAAAACTAAAATGAACAAAACATAATAATGGAAATAGTTCCCATAAATGATAACAATCATGTTACTCCAGGAGATGAAATTTTTTATGAAGAAGGATGTATTCCAGGAAATGGAATTCGAATTGAAGATAATGAATTTATATCTTGTGTTCATGGTACAGTAGAACGAATTAATAAACTTGTTTGTGTAAATCCAATAAGGTCTCGATATTGTGGGAATGTAGGAGATGTTGTAGTAGGAAGAATAGTATCAGTTGGAGTTGGATTTTGGAAAGTAGATATTAATGGAAAGAATAATGGATTATTACAAATTTCATCAATTAATCTTCCAGATGGGATTCAACGAAGAAGAACAGAGATTGATAATTTAAATATTAAAACATTTTTTGATGTTAATGAATTAATTTGTGCTGAAGTTCAAAGTATGAATGGACAAAGTTGTATTCAATTACATACAAGAAATGAAAGATATGGTAAATTAAATGAAGGGATATTAATACAA